TTACTTTACGACAATCTGGAGGGGGAAGTGTTGGGAAAAAGTAGAAAAAAGTAAGATTGGCTTAAAGTAATGGGTGTTGAAAGCAGGGTTATGAATACATGAGGGGTTATTTTGTATACTATTCTGTTTATGGAATCTTCAAGATTTTTCATCATAAAAAATAAAAATCCCCTGAAGAAACTTCAATGACCCAAATTTTTAGAAAACAAAATTGGATTCACAATGACTAAATATCTTGCCCAATTGCTATTACATGGCGGCGCCAGAATCCAAATCCAAGTATGTCCCAACCACCAAGAGACTTTGCCCTCTCAAGTCAAAGGAGCGGCTACCTCTGGAGGCTGTTCCTCCAGCTCATCTGAAAAGGAGAGGATGGGGTACTTTCTTCATCCCTAAAGCACCAGCCAGAAGCCAGAGGGACTACTGTGCTCATGGTAATAACACTCTTAGCGCTGCGGCCACCTGCTGGGATCCTATTACTTGGTTTCTCTGGGTTGTATCCCAGCCTTCATCCCCACAACAGAGACCTCCTTGATTGTTTTTTGGACTCCCCTTTCAACAGCCCATAGTGCCCTGCAGAGAGTTTACCAGAATGGACATACACAAGTGAAGTTAAGTATGAAGAAACTTATTCTCAAGATATCTTTAAAGCTTTCTCTCTTCCAGTAATTTTTAGTGAAATATAATCTTTCACTTCCAGCTTATGAACCACATGAAACAGCCTCACCATTTCTGAAGCCTGCATTTTGGGCTCCCAATGCCAAGTCTTGACTTGACCCCTTTCTTTCATCAGACTTCACTCTAAATTACTTTTGATTGCTTGCAAAAATCAAATCTAATATTAATGATTGTGAAAACAAAACAAAACAAAAACCCCACAATGTCTCCCTCATATTCGGGGCTAGGGACTGCACTAAATACTTTAAGAATATTATCCTCTTCATTCCTCAGAAGAGTCCTCCAAAAGATGAAGATGTGACAGCACTGAGCAGGTTCAAAGACAAAGTGCTGGGGAAGGGATTACCTTGGTCCCAAGGTTAGAATTAACCTCCACCTAGACAAAGGATTTAGCGGTGCGGACACTAATAGGAGTCTTTAAATATCACTTTGTCCTGTCATCTGCGAGTCTTGAGATCCTCCTCAAACAAAAAAAGAGCCTGTGACTATCAGTAATCTGCACTCTCCAATCTCCTACCAACAATGACCATCAAACAGCCACCTGATAATTCTCTTCTTTTTCAGAATCCAATATTCTTTACTGCGGATTGCATGAGATTTGTTTTAGCAACTCACAAGACATGAAACTATTGGGCAAGCCACCATATTCAGAGCTCACAACCCTTCCCTGAGTTTGCCCTTTGCATTTCTGTATGGAAGGGAATTGAGAGGACATACAGATGAAACTAACGAAACTTCTTTTTCTTCCTCTCTCCTAATTCTTTTTGACACCCCCCCCCCACCCCCCCGCCTTCCCCTCTCAAGCCAGGTCCAGCTCATGGTGCCACTAGTTTTCTTCACTCAAAATCAAATTCCCACCTGAACACACAGACTGTAAACATCTCAATCTGTCACAGGGCAGAGTGAGTTCTGCTCTCGCCTACAAGGGTTTCACCTTACACACACTAAATTTAGAAAGTTATCAACATCTTGGAAGGGTTAGGGAGTTCTCAGATTCAATTTCCTCGTTATAGGCTTTAAACTGGTTTCTAGTTCTGGTGCATTAAATCCTGGGCCTGGAGAAAAATACCTGCCTCCTGTGCAAGTTTTAGAAAGAAATAGGGGTTGAGGCCATACATCCCTGCTTTTTCCCTGCCTCTTAGCCAACAAGACAGACACTAGGATCTTCAGTGATTTCAAGCCTTCCAGCTAGGCGATTTTCACTCATCAGGCATCAGACAGCACCAGGTGTCACATTCACAAGACCTCACCATCTAGCACACATATCCTCACTTCGAAATTAAATGCATGAGCAAATCTTTGAAAATATTTGCAAAGTGATGTATTTTTCTTTATTTGATGTCCAAAAATTCACTTCGTGAAACTGTTATTCCTTTCGGAGTGTGGTCTCTATTCCTCTTAGAGTTCTGTTTCTCTCATATGTAAATTCCACCATTCCTCCCTTCATCCTTTAAAACTGTTCCATCTTTCTGGATTAATTCTATCCCCACCCCGCCATTCTTGGGTCTATGGACCTTAAGCACAAATACATCAGGTAGCCTCAATCACTTAGTGTTTTTCTGCAAGTTGCTTTTGGATTCATTTGTTGCTTCCCTTCCTATTTAGTCTTGTTAACTAGATAGGAAACTCTCCAGGCGCAGGATTTGCTCTGTTACTTTATCCTCTAGCGCAGGGCTTGGCTCTCAATAAATGCAGAGTGACTAGTTAAACTCATAGCAATTAATTATTTGGGCAAATATCAAATGTATCAAGATGATGGTTTAATAATAATCACCTGCAGTAATGACAACACTAGAAATCACATTTAAGTCCTTGTCTCTGCTGGCTAACTTCCTCCAGACAATACTTATGAATTTTGCATAAGATTGCTGTCATCTTGACATTACTGTTTCATGAGATTTATAATCTTGCAAACCATTTGTCACTGAAACAATGTGGAAGATAAAAGTAATTTCAGTAATAGGTTGAAAATGTTCTGCCGTTGAAATGTTAGTACAAACATGCTATAAAATGAGGAGAGACATGTTTTAGAAATATTCCTGGCCGGCAACAAGATTAGATATAGAAAGTAGCATCATGGGGCCCTGGGCAAGGAAGTACCTAACTCGCAAATAGCCGTGTTTCTTGGGGCCCAACTGAAGACTGACTGGGGCCCAAACGGGACAAAGCCTGTCTACCTACCTCTTCCACTCATTCTCTGGGGGGACTGGACTCAGGGCTGGTCACCAGACAAGAATAACTCTTCCTCAACCACACCTCTGTCAGAACAGATATATTAATTTTCAAGACTTAGAAATTCAGGGTGGTGAAGGGGGGGGAGGGTGGCACTGGTCCAAGTGTCCTACCACTGCAGAAATGTGACTTCTTCATTCATGCAGTCAACAAACATTACCTCCCACACGCCAGGCACACATCGTACCCCTCAGTGTCTGACAGCCTGGTGGCGGTGATGAGCATGGATACATCACAGCGCCATGAACGCGAGCCATGAGCGAGGGGTGAGACCAAGGCACCTCCTGCCTGAGCCCAGACCACACCCCCCTAATCAAGCTTGGAGGCTTCCAAAATGCTTGATCGTGAAGCATCTGTTTCTCAAATAAAGTGGAGATTTATCTCCACCTCCCAAACAATTGGGGATAAAATCCTGTAAATTAACATTGCCTTCCGTGTATTCCAAGGACCACTTGCGGGATGATAATGGCTGTTCCCCAGAGGAAAGAAAAACAAAACAGAGAGTGATTGCTGATCACTGAAGTCTGGAAACCGCTTATTTAATTAATGTAGGATTTCTTAGATCCCTTAAAATGTTCCTGTGTGTTATGCATCAGCAGGAGAGGAGGTAGTGTGTAGTGTTTTGCAGAGTTAGCTAATTGAGGATTTCTTCTTCCTACAGCCACCTTTCCCGTTGAACGCACTCTGAGAACACATGCCGAGAGGGTTCATTCCTCTGTACTCTCTTCCAGGATGAAGGCATCAGGCTTACTCTACACGGGGTTCAGAGTGGATAATCAAAATATGCTGACCTTATTATCAAATATTAAGGTATCACAGAAAGACATAAATTCATTTCAAAATCCATGATGGATTTTCATTTTTATTTGGTTTAAATGTTTATTTTAGAGAGAGAATGTGATTGGGGAAGAGGACAGACGATCTGAAGTGGGCTCTGCAGAGAACCCAATGTGGGGCTGGAACTCACCAACTGTGAGACCATGACCAGAGCCGACGATGCATGCTCAACTGACTGAGCCACCCACCCACCCCCAGATGATGGATTTTTAAAAATGATTTCTTCTGGCGTGCTCAGTTAAGTGTCTGACTCTTGGTTTCGGCTCAGATCATGATCTCCCTGTTCTAGAGACTGACCCTGAGTTGGGCTCTGTGCTGACAGCACAGAGCCTGCTTGGGATTCTCTCTCTCTCTCTCTCTCTCCTCCCTTTCTCTTTCTCTCTCTCTGCCCCTCCCCCACTCATGTGCATGCTCCCTCTCTGAAAATAAATAAATAAACTTTAAAAAGAAATGATTTCTTGCTAGCTCAAATATGTGTAGTCACACTATTTCCCCAGCTCCTAAGACTGGACTCTATCTACTGCCCTCAGGGTGCCCTACTTTAGGTTTACAAATTGGAACACAAGCTTGGTTTCCTGTTTCTCCAGCAGGATTTGGAAAATGTGTTGATGCGGCTTAAAACGCACAGGCCACAACTCAGAAGCCCAGGTAGACTAGCTGTAGGTAGATTAAAACATTGTTTGCAAGAACCTGGGGCGAGAGATGCGGGCTCTCGCTGGCCACACATTGGAACCACCAGGGGAACTTAAAAAACACACACCGATGTCCAGAATGATTTAAATTAGGTTCTCCGGAAGTGAGGCCCGAGAATTTCTATTTTTAAAAACTCCCTGGGACGGGGCGCCTGGGTGGCTTAGTCGGTTAAGCGTCCGACTTTCGCTTAGGTCATGATCTCGCGGTTCGTGGGTTCGAGCCCCGCATCGGGCTCTGTGCTGACTGCCAGCTCGGAGCCTGGAGCCTGTTTCGGAGTCTGTGTCTCCCTCTCTCTCTGACCCCACCTCCCACTCACGCTGTCTCTCTCTCTCCTAGAAATAAATAAATCATTAAAAAAAAAAAAAAAAAAAACCTCCCTGGGAGTCCCTAGCGTACAGCCAGGATTGAGGAGCGCCGCCCTAAGGAGTCCAGCTGTGAGTCACAACAGCTGGCCGTCACCCGGCCTCATTTTCAGGACTTGCTACTTCTTTAGGGGACATGCAGGCGTCACAGGCGTCAGCTCAGGCTTCCATAACCACGTTCCACAGGCCTGGCGGCCTAAGCAACGCAAACCTGCTTTGTCACAGCCGCGAGGCCACGAGTCGGAGGTGAGGGCGCTGGCCGGGTGAGTGTCCTCTGAGGCCCCTCTCCTTGGCTGGCGGGTCGCCGCCTCCCCGCCGCCCCCTCCCACGGTCCCTCTGCGCGTGTGTCCCAATTCCCAGCAGTCGGACTGCGTTAGGGCCTTGCCTTATGCCCATTTTCAGTTAATCACCTCTTCCCAGGTCCTATCTCCAAACACAGTTACGCGCTGAGGTTCGATGGCTTTGAATTTCAAAATGGGAAATACGACTCCGCCCACAACAGGTGTAGGGGAGACCCCCAAAGTCGCCTAGAAACACTGCAAGCTGTCAGAGCTGTAAAACTGACACTTTTTCCTGTTTCCATCGTAATTAAACACAAGACACAACCCAGGAAGAAAAGGACGTCGCTGCCCTGATGGCCCCCCAGACAACAAAAACTTGAACCTGTCCTATAAAACTTCATTTTCTTTAAAGAAAAGAGGGCAGGGGGGAGTCTGATCTTTGACTTCTGTAATACTAGCATTTATAGGTATGACATAAACTTTGTGAATATGATGATCATGTGAAACATTATTCTTTTCCCCTAGTAAACAGATCATAACGAAAATTAATATAAACAAGTGTGATAAACATAAATATAATATTCATGTAAACTGACCGTCTGAATTTGATCATCTTGTTCATCTTTGCGGTTATTTTCCCACCAAGCGCCTGTCGTGTTTTTTATTTGGCACATGAATCCTTTTGAAGTCTGACACCCTTGCGTTTTGAAAATGAAGAAGCCTGGCTTTCTTTTCCAAATGCTTTTGTGTCTGAGTTTTGGAGGTTCGGTGATGTTCACGTGAGGAAGAGGCCGCCTCCTCCAGCTGCCGAAACCTGACCTGAGAACGCACGCATCTCCAGTGCTGTGTGAACTAATACGTGCCCTTTTTTTTTTTTTTTTTGGTTTCCAGAATAAATCTCATGCAGCAAGAGAGCTTTACCATCACTGCCTTTTTGTTTGTCTTCTTCCTAACTGGGGTTTTCTGGCTGTTTCTATTTGCGTTTCTGGATCAAGTCTAGTCTCCACTGCGGTCTAAGCGTGGGCAAAAATGTATTCTCTATTGATGACTGAAAGGGAGGGAATCTAGGTTTCTGGTGATCTCTGTCAGGGGGCAGATAACAGAGACCGTGGTTTATCTATCTTTTTTAACTGTCTTTTGTTTGTTTGACCTGGGGATGCAGATACCTTCTATGTTTGAAATGCAAGCATCCTATAAAATGAGGAGAGACATGCTGTTAGAAATAGTTTAGGCTATGGACTGACTGGATACAGAAAGAGGTGTCATCGGGCTTTGGGCAAGGATGTACCTGATGTGCAATGAGCCAAATTTCTTGGGCCCCAACTGAAGGTTGACTGGGGCCCAGAGGGGACAAAGGCTTGCCTACCTCTCCCTGTCAGTCTCTGGGGGGAACAGGCTTCTGGCTAGTCATCAGCCAGCAATACCCTCCCTTCAGTGAGATCCTATCATTCCAGAAAGTTTCCTGTGCCAAATGGAAAAGCAATCAACCTTTTGAGATACACAGTGGCTGGACTTGGGAGCTGTTGTGTTGTTTTTTGTGTTTTTTTTTAAACCTCCCGCCCGCCCGCCCTTCCTCCCTCCTTTTGCTTTCTTTCTTTCTCTTTTTCTTTCTTTCTTTCTCTTTCTTTCTTTCTTTCTTTCTTTCTTTCTTTTTCTTTCTTTCTTCTTTCTTTCTTTCTTTCTTTCTTTCTTTCTTTCTTTCTTTCTTTCTTTCTTTCTTTCTTTCTTTCTTTCTTTCTTTCTTTTCTTTCTTTCCTTGTCTCTCTCTCCCTCCCTCCCCCTCTCTTTCTTTCTTTCATAAGCTCCACACCCAACATGAGGCTGAACTCACAACCCTGAGATAAAGAGTGGCATACTTGGGGTGCCTGGGCTCAGTCGGTTAGGCACCTGACTTCAGCTCAGGTCATGATCTCACAGTTTGGGAGTTCGAGTCTGCATCAGGCTCTAATGATAACTCAGAGCCTGCAGCCTACTTTGGATTCTGTCTCTCCCTCCCTCTCTACCCCTCTCCCCTTCACGCTCTCTCTCTCTCTTTCAAAACTAAATATATATTTTTTAAAAAGTGGCACACTCTTCTGACTGAGCCAGCCAGTCGCCTGCCCCCACTAGTGCTTTTCATATGTTAAAAATTTTTTTCTTGTTCTTTCTATGTAAAAGGAAGGTAATTAAATATTTTGTTTAGCATTTTCTCTATTTGTGGCCACCCCCTCCCTCCCTTCTCCCAAGTTTCATTTCCTTTTCCTCTCCGCTCCCCACCCAGAACACTTGTGGAGATTAATTGCTAAATAAAGATCTTTCAGTTTGTGTACATTCCATGGATAAACTAGTCAGAGCACAGAGGAAAAATAATTAACAAATTACATTGTAAACTTACTTGTATTTATCAAAGCCTTTGTCTTGACTGGCATATAGAAATGCTCTTTTAAATTTAAAATAATAAAGGTTTAAAATAAATTTCAAATTTCAGAAAGGAGGAAAATCAAATTTTAATGTTTTCAAACACACTTTTTTTTGAGAGAGAGAGAGAGAGAGAGAATGAATACGCATGAGCGGGGGAAGGGCAGAGAGACACACACAGAATTGGAAGCAGGCTCTAGGCTCTGGGCTCGAACCCACGAACTGTGAGATCATGACCTGAGCCAAAGTCAGACGCTTACCACCTGAGCCACCCAGGCATACCTTAATGTTTTCAATGTGATGCTTCTTTAAGGAAAAAGTTCCAAATCTTGATGAATCTATACCTGAGAGGAAAGAAAAACTTTAACTCTCAGACAAATTAATAGCCTTGGTTATGGTTTACAAGATAAAAAGCAAAGAAATGCTAAGGAACTTCAAACACAATTTGAAGAACTTTCAATGCTTAGTTTATAAATATAAGTGTTTATAAAGTAGAAATCTATGGAAATTCTAAGAAATAGTCTTATTCAGGGTGAAAATTTTTATCCAAAGCAATTATATTTCTTCCTGATTTTATCACAATACAAAAACTAGTATTATAGTTTATATAAAACTTTATAAAAAATTAAAGCTATTATATATATATGAAAATATACAGCATGGAACCTTATTTGGGGCTTGAAATCATGAACTGCCAGATCATGACCCGAGCCAAAATCAAGACTTGGATGGTAAACCCACTCACCCACCTAGGTGCCCCGAAATGCCTACTTTTTAAATTGAAGTGAAATCCATGTAACATAAAACTAACCATTTTTCAATTGTGTAAGTCACGGGCATTTAGTACATTCGTGATGTCGGACAACCACCAACCTCTACGTAGTTTCAAATGTGATGGTGTTTTCATCGCCCCCAAAGCAGACTTCATCCCATTAAGAAGTCTCTCCCTATCCATCCCTATCCCTAAGCCCCTGGAAACCACCAACCTGCTTTCTGTATCTATGGATTTAGTTGTTCTGGATATTTCAAACAAATTGAGTCATACAATATTTGACTTTTTGCGTCTGGCTTCTTTCATTTAGCATAATGTTTTGAGGTTCATCCGTGATGTAGCCCTTATCAGGAGTATGTTCATCTCTACAGCCAAAGAATATTGTGTTGTATGTATACATCACATTTTCTTTGCCCATATTTCCATGATGGACATTTGGGTTGTTTCCACATTTTGGCTGTTGTAAATAGTACTCCTGTCAATATGGATGTACAAGCATTTGTTTCAATACCTGTTTTTAGTTCTTTTGTGTGTATTCCCAGGAATGGAATTGCTGGGTCATATGGTAATTCTAGGTTTAACTTCCTTAGGAACTATCAAGCTGTTTTCCACAGTGGCTGCACCATTTTACCTCCCCACCAATTAACTTTAAGACTTTGAACTAATAGTAAATCAAGGTATTGGTACATAACTTGCACACCTGAAAATACTAGCTTTACTATCCTCTTGTTTGGTTAAAATGGATGTAGAAATTGATTAAGAATCTTTTTATGCCTGGCCGTCTTAGTGCGTAGAACATGCGATTCTTGATCTCACAGTTGTAAGTTTGAGCCCCACATTGGGTACAGAGATTACTTAAAAAGAAAGTCTCTGGAAAGAAAAAGAATCATTTTAAAGATCCATTTGAATACAGAGAGATATATATGCAAGGTGATGGATGTATTCTATTTGTTTTGTTTTAAGTAAAATTGTCTGGTTGTGCCAGAACATGAAAGAAGGTAATAGAAGACAATTTGAGGATATGTTACAAATATAGAAAAAAAAGAAAAGTAAACTGAAGAGTCTGGGTTTTAATGCCTGCATATAGTGAATTTGAAATGAACAAAGAAATATATTAAAAATTTTTGCAAAATTGGCTCAGTGATAATTGATTTATTTAAGGTGGAAAGAGGCTGTGCATCCTTTACTACAAATTGCTACACAGAGGGTAATCTAAAAGTAAAGTAAGAATTTGGCTCTCTCTCTGTTAAAATCAGAAATTGATCCTTGGGTAGCTAGAATGCTCCTAATAAAAGCAAAGAAAGACAGACAAGAGTTAAAAGGTGTTCTGTGCCCAGATATCAACAGTTCTCTTTCTTACTTAAATGCCCTGTAAACTGGTCATTTTTGTCACACTTTCAAATCTCTTTTAACAAAACGTCTTGTTTTGAAATAGAGCATCAAATAATAATCATTTTTTGTATTGCTGTGTTTCCTTTAAATATTACTTGAAAACACTTCTTGTCTTCAGGGCATCTGTGACTAATGCTCTTTTCATGTCTCCTTTAACTCTTTATGTTACTGCCTTTCCCAAATTTGAGACCCCAAACCGGAACTCCAAAACCATAAAGATTTCTATTATACTTATGTTATCTTTGAAGCTTCACAGATGTCCACGGTGTATCACAAAGAGTTGATCTCTCATCGTTTTTAAGAAAGAGATAGTACTGGGGTGCCTGGGTGGTTCAGTCAGTTAAGCATCTAAGATTTGGACCCAGGTCATGATCTCACGGTCTGTGAGTTGAAGCCCCACAATGGGCTCTCTGCTGTCAGCACAGAGCCCACTTTGGATCCTCTGTCTCCCTGTCTCTGCCGCTCTATCGCTTTCTCTGCACCTCCCCCCCCGACCCTCCCCCATGCATGCTCTCTGTCTCAAAAATAAATGTTTAAAAAAAAGAGGGAGATACTGGAAATAATCTGTCATTCTCTAGTTTTAATACACTCAAGACTATTATGTCCACAATATGAATAAGCAGCAAGTCAAAAAGCTAACCCTCTCTGTATTAATTTTATATAAATAAAATGACACGAATCTAAATGTTTCAGTAATTATGCAACATATGTCAGAAACATACTTATGTATATGTACAAATACGGGCACAAACACAATACATAGGTTAATTTTTAAGACACGTCTTATTTTTCTATATAAATGCTCTTTGCTATATAAATATTTTCTCTATAAATACTTGTCAGCTGATGACAGTCAGAATACACTTGGTGGGATAAATTAAAGACTCCAGATATTTGACAATGTCCTTACTACTCTTTATAATGTTTTCTTA